ATTTCGAATCGAATATTGATATTCGATTCGATTCGAACGATGTTCGCACACCCCTAGACTCTTTATGATCAGCTGTGATGGTGTCATGGCGGCAGAAACCAGAGTGGGGACGGAGTGAGAGAGTAATAGATAGAGAAAGAGTGAGAGAGGAATAGAAACGCGGAGAAGGAAATGTAGGCATCACGCAGCTGCACGCATTTAACTTTATCGACGAATTTTTGTTATTTCGGCTTGCGGAAATCGTCAGATTATATATTTTTCATTATTCTTGCATTATTTCCTTCAAAATAAAAAAAAATTTAGCTACGCTCGAGAATGTCGAGATGACGTTTTTTTTTTACAACTTTGTTGCCCTCCCCTTTTTTTACGTCACTCTCAAATTGTCAGATTAGTGGAATATACACTTTTTAGGATGTAATTAACTCACCCTACCTTAATCTGACGCGCTCGAGAATTTCTGGTGGTCAATTTTTTTTTACTAATCTGATCCTGTATCCTTCACGGGCGGCCTTATATATGGGCCTCATGTTTTGTGGAGGTACTTAACCGGGTACAAGGTATCCCCCTGTATATTAATCTGCCGCGCTCGAGTAACTACAGAAAATCCCCTCTTGGGCTCCCCTACTAAAAGTAAAAGAGATCATTCTTAATGTGAAAGAGAATAGAAAGTAGTGTTAGGCTTTAAGTTAAAAAGTAAGAAATATATTTGTTTGATTTTTTCGAATTTCATCCTTTAAAGGGGTAAAAAGGGGTAATAAGGTTTATATGGGCAAAGAATTATTTATGATCAGAATTACTTGAAACTTAGTATTAATGCTCTTCAATATAATCAAAAAATAAGTGTCTTAGCATTGTTGAAATTGATTTCCATAAGGGGGTAAAATGGGGGATGAAAGTTTGGATTAAACTCTGTAATTAATATGTAAAAAAGTACATAAAAAAAAGAAAATCACCTGTAGACGATTTAAGAGTTGTAGAATTACTTTTTTTAAAGTGATGTCCACATAGCCTTAAATATAAAGATTATGATTAATCAATTTTGCTCATCTTATTGCTTTAGCCCGAGATTCCTTCAGTTTTTGCCTCTGAGGAACATATGATATCAATTTTTTTTTTGCATCCTGGCACTGTACATTTTGTCATTTTTATTAAATTTATAAATAAAATGAAAAAATATCCTTCCACGCTATAGAGCTTTACCATATACTGAAGGCCATAGGGATCTCGACATCTGGCGAGAGAAAAAAGCTAAATTCGTCCCCGTTTATGATAAAATTTAGATATCTACAGACATCCCAGTTTATAACTATACTCTTTGGACTACACTCACAGAGTACATTGGTACATACATACTAGGAAACTACACCTACAGTACACTGTACAGTTTATATATGTAGCAATATACTATAAGCTGTACAGTTTATATCATGGATGACAAATAAAATAGATGAATTAGTTCCATACGAGCTCTTGGTGCATTTATCTATCCCTTTCATTTGCTTGGTAACTAGCATGCTATCTCTACATTTGGCGACAACGAGTGGGACAACAACTTATTTCTGTCGCAGTTACATACGTCACTACTGTGACGTCACTGCAATATTTTGTCATTTTTGAAATATTCAAGTTTTAACCGTCGTTATTACTCGCCCCTGGGGACTAGGGTGTGAGGGCTTGCCGTTTTTTATATTATTTTACACTTAAAATTTACATTTTATCAATTTGTAGATTAGTATTAATTAATGTGGATAAGTGCTGATTAATGTAGATCAGTGATATAGTTAACATTTGTGCTTGGATACAAAATTTGTTATTTCTTCATTAGTGTTTCTCTTCCTTTTTTTGGTTTTTTATTAATGTTGTGTAATCATGGGAAAGCATTGTAATTCCGAATTGTCAGGAAGGAACAGAAGGTTTTTCATGCCATAGAATGCCTTATAAAGATGCACTTCAATTTTATAACGTATACTTATAGAAATTCTTATAAACGGTTTATTTCTAGAGTAACTCTATCTGACCAGGTTTCTGCCAATGTAGCTGCAATAAATTCATTAATTTCTGATACTAAGGTAAATATACTTTGTAGTGCCAATGATGCATGCTATCCATTATGAAGTTAATGGGAAGTGGGAACAAAACCTATCATAAGTATGATGTACCTCATTTACTGAAATGTTTCAGTAATAATTTTCAGAAAAAGAATTTGCTCCTTGGCAGTCAGCATGCTCAATGGGATTATGTTTATATGTTGTATAAAGTAGATGACCATAAAGGTGCTGCAAGGCTAACAAACTTACTGACAGGCATATTTATCCAAACTCTTTTGTTAAGATGAAGGTAACTATATTGTTAAGTTTAGTAAATTAAGATATTATTATATTACTTTAGATCTTGGATATTATCTATAATATGAAATTGTTTTTAAGAAGGAAACTTCTTGAAGCTATTGATATTATTATACTATTTATTATTATACTATTCTATTCTAATATGTAAAATTGAATAGTTTGTTTATTGTTTGAATGCACTTATCCATGTAATGCTCAGTCCATTAAAAACAATTTATCAACTCTATAGCCTATCTATTGTATAATGTTAACAGCTATTTAAGGGCCTAATTGGCTTATCTACCTAGACCCTAATAATACTAAACTATTACTATATTTAAATAAGCTACTATTCATCTACAGTAGTTACTAGTTCATATACTATATAGTTATGGTGACTAATTGTTGTATTACATTAATTTATTATAATAATATATTTACAGGTGAAGTATATGCTGCGCAGGTGTTTCAGCAGTTGAAGTGTTTCAACATCTATAAGTCTCCTGATAAAGGCTTTTAGTTTCCAGGAAGAACACAATTATTGTAATACATTAAATGTAAATATTGAGAATGGCTTATTCACAGCTGAGATTATTTTATTCATTAATAATAAAATACATGATCCTTCTAAGAATCTGTCATCTCTAGTATGGTATGCAATTTACATAATTGAAAGACAATTACCAAAGATTTGTAAAGTTTACATATTTCCCGATTTAATAAAAGCATTTGAAAATCTTGTTACCTCTTGGTACACTTGTGTAGATCATAGAGAAATATTTTTAAGAGCATTCTCATTATTTATGATATGTATAAAAGTTAGACACAGGTGTATAAATTTTAATTGAAGAATGCATAAACTGGATTCGAGAAAAAAGGGTCTGGAAATAGAAAATTTGCTTAATATGAATGTTTCAGAAGGGCCTAGCTATGGTTGAACTCATCTAGTCTTCAGAGTAGTGAATGATTTTCCAATATTTTTTAATTAATTAACTTTTAATATTTATTACTCTTGTTTTTTTTATTTCTTGGTTATTTAAAAGATAATCACTTGGAATTTTCCATTTTCATTATGTTTCTATTAAGTATAAAAATAATGTATGAATATTTCATTTGATTTCTGTGAAATTATTATAATTTCTTAAAATATACTACTATAGCAGTATATAATTTTAATATATTAATAATAATTGTTACATTTGATAGAACTATGCATTTAGAAATTTTATTTAGAGTATGTTTAGCTGTTATTTCTTTTTACACCAAATTTTTACTATTACTATGTACATATTGATTTTAAATTTCTTAAGCTTTTAAGAAAATTAATTTTATTATTCATTATTTTACTGAAATTTGCATTTTTTTTTAAATTTATATAAGATTAAAATGTTTGTTTTTTCAAATGCGCTAATCTCGAATCTTTGCATTTTATAAACTGAAGATGAAGGTGGTTCTAGAGCTAAAACTTCAAATAAAAGCTAGATTTTAATTTATACCTACAATTAAACCTACTACTCGCTTAATATGATATTGTTATTAACAAAAACTATTGTTCTATGTTACTTCTAATTTATTGCATTGTAATATTTTATACCAAATCGTTGTACTAATTTATATCTTTTGTATTTTGTATTCAATTGATAAAATTCTTTAAAAATGTCCTTTTATTGTAATAACAATGTATTATAAATGTTAAGAAAAAAAAGGTTATCCCGTCAAGGACCTCAGTCCTTGCTAATTCTTCTCAGGTCTGAGGCATTTTTCCGAACTAGTGGTAGCATTAAAATAGTAAAATAAAAAAACTAGAAACCTATCTTTGTATTTTATTTCTAATTATAATTAATATCATAAAAATGAAAACCTTACTATAAAACCGATAACAGTTGTTGAATACCGATAACATTACGATAAAATACATCCCTACTTAATCGTAATCCTAATGAATACCGATTTTTACATCACTACGAACTAAATTCTCCCTGATTCGCATATGACGTCATACCCTTAGAAAGAGATGCGTGGCGACTCAAAAGAAATACAATAGCCGTGAAAGTGACAGCATATTTTGACTTGCCATTTATGCCATAACTGTCCCCATATTAAGGCAAATTCATGACACAGCTCTAAAATATAAATCAATTTTTATAACATAAAAACCTATGTTAATAGATATTTTATGTTTGATATGAAATATAATTAAAATATAAGATATTCGATAATAGTTAAAATCATTTAGAATATAATTATATAAATCAATATATAGCACATATGATTTATAAAAAAAAACATTTTAAGCATATTTAACTTAAGTATATTTTATAATATAATAAGATATTAATTAACATATCCCATGTAGCTATTTTTAATTTATAATGGTTAAATCGGGAAAAATCTTTCTTTGACTATCTTGACCCCCCCGGCCCCCGCTTCGTCTTATTCGCCTTCGGTTTTATGAATATGCGCTTGTATGGAGCTCGGCCGGGGCTGGTTTATATTATATACGTATTTAACAATATACTATGCAATCTATTAGGTGAAAAGTGAAAACACAATTCTAATTCACAAATAAAAATCAATTCTGTTACAACTAAATAAATCGATCATCGGTAATTTTACATATTGAATGTATTTACAACATAACAGTGATCAAATACAACAGTGAAGAAATAAAAAATGGATAGCAATGAAGAAGGCATGTTTGTATCTAAATTCGTTATCAATGAACAGATTTTGTATTCAAAAATTAGCTGTAATCCTAATGAAGAGGATTTGCTTAAGATTGAAATTTTTAGCTACGATCAAAGTTGGTCTGGACATTTTTCTCGTGAATCAGCCAAGACATTTGGAGACAGATTAGACGAATCTGAAGAGGAATATTTTAAGAATGTAATAATTGCTTTAAAAGGAATAGAAGGCACTTATGTTTTAGATTTCACACCAGAGAAAGAGAAAGATTTATCAAAATTTGTTTGGAAAAGGATAATTCCTAAAGAGTATTCAAAACATGGATTTGTAGAACATGGGCATGTAATGCTAAAAAAAAATATACCTGTAATAACAAAGAACACAATCATAGATTATTTGATGTTTCAAAATGAAACACTGCAATGTACAATAGAAGACTATAAAGATAATTATGAAGCACTAAACATTGAATTGGTAAAATGCAAAAAGGAACTTGAAAATCTGGTAGTTATAAAAAATTTAATAGAAACAAATTTATATGGAAAATTTGTGCAGGTTTTGAACTCAAAGAAAAAAAGAATAAAATTACTTGAAAGTCAGCTAGATAATAATGAGAAAAATGGTCAATGTATTGATGATGAAAATGAGGAAGACTGAGCTTAATGTTTTGTAATTTTTGATGATATGTATAGATAAATTTACAATACTTGATATTTTGTTGCACATTAAGACTCCCAAATGGAGAGAAAAAAAAACAACACTATATAAACAAGTTCACAAATTTATCTTCTCCATTTATTGTCCATATAATCAAACACTGTCTATCACTTTAAAGTTCGGTTGGGTGACAATTTGACACTATCAGTAAGATATCAGAGGTAACATTTACAATTTTACATGTCACCACTAGCTTTCCGGCTTTTGTTAATTGTTAGTAAAAATTATTTAAGGGAAAAACCTAATCACTAAACTTGGCCTAACGCGGAGCTAATTCCCAGGTTCTCTAGATATGCAGCCATACATGTTGGCCATTAAACGAGTGTGGAAGTTATATGGTGTTTATAAACTGTGTATTGGTGTTTATAACTGCCTTGGTAGTCTAGTCACTAGCATTTATAGTCACAGATGCAGAGGTCCTGAGTTCGAGCCCTGGGTCGGGCCAGGTTTAGTCATTGAGTATTTCTGTCAACAAATTCTCAGTAACGGCCCAGAGTTAGGAGGTTGGCGGTGTTTCAACCCCGTGCCTTAGAGTGCTAATGTCGCGTCCTTCGCCTTAACTCTCTGGTCGTGTCGAGCAGTCGTCTCATTGGAGTATGAGAGTGACAGGAATAGAGAGTGCATGTTGTGTCGTGCACAAGCAAGAATAGACGAGGCCCCCATAAGGGGGGCCACATAAAGAAATGGAATGGAAATAATTATAATTGGATGTGTATTAAAAAATTGTTATGTGGAAAAATAAAGCTATAATAATAATATAACAAACCAAACATTTCTCTGATGACTAGAGTATGGTAATTATGTAAAAATGTTTCATTGTGAATGTTGATAGTGAATTTATTTTTAAGTAAATTTAGTTATATTACAAAATATTGAAGTTGATATGAAAAAAAAAAATTATAATCATTCTAAATCTTTAAAATTACTCATATGATAAGACTTTTTTTATTCAAATATAAATAAATAAAAAATATAAATGTGATGAGTTGTATTATGATTCCATATCCATCCTTATACAATTTCCTTATTATTTGAAAACACATTGGCCAAAAATTTGTATCAAAAAACATGTGAATATTCGCAACATGGGAATGAGACTATTTGTTACATCACTAATGAATAATTAGTTGTAGTATAATAAATTCAGGGTGTGCTTAAATCAAAAACAAATTATAAACATGAATTATTTATTTTGTGAATATCTTATTAAACATTATTTAATAGCTTCGGCCAAATAACGTAATGAATTTAGGCTTGTTGGTGCAAGCAGGGTGAATGCACTTGTCGTCAGCAGTAAGTTGACGAGGAGGCTCGAATGGTATGCAAAGGGACTTTGCCCCCATCGCTGGCCCTTTGACATCGGCTGTTGGATCATCTTCAGTTCTGTAAAAGTAATGTTTAAATATTATTATTTTAGAAGTCCTTTTGTATAATCTTTATTAAAAAGATATTTTTAGTGTGCTTAAAGTGACAAAAATAAGTTAATTTTACAATAACAAATTAATATGTAATACAAACTAAAAGACGTAAAAGTTGACTAACAATAAATTAAATACTTTGCATTGATGGAAAGAATTCAAAATTTCATCTAAGTAGATGTTTATATATTATAATTTAATACTTAATATTTTAATACTTATCCTCCTTTTTAGTCTTAGTTTATTGAATAAAATTAACAAAATCATTAATATGCACCTTGCACTATCATTCTTTATATTGTCTTCGCATGGGGTTTCACCGCAGAATGGTGCTAGGAGAATGTGTCGTCTCTCCAATGCTTCGGTGAACTCATTCCACTTGGTTACTGAAGATAGCCGCTCGTCTCTGTCTTTAGTTGCCCTAAAAACAATATTTTTATTTGAGACACAAAAATTCGCAACTGCGAGGAAACTCAATTTTGTAACAATATCGAATTATTTCAAAACAGAGCTACAATGTTTTTCTTTGCAGCTATTGTAATATTATGCCAGATTCACATACTTGTCAAATCTCTACAAACGTGTGAATGCACCACAATCACTTGCTGTAATTTTTTTTTGATTTGTGCACAAAAACTGACATGTTCAGAACAGTCACAAGTGCTTTCAAACCTATACAAGCCAAGCAAACGCCCTCGTCACAGAATTATGATGATAAATGTTAGAATTTATGATGGCTTGTCGAGGCTTGGCAAGCGTATGGATCCGGCATTATAGGCGATACAAGTATTTGTCACAGTGTTTGTTTAAGACCCAAGATGACACATGGTAATAGAATAAAAGTTATTTTTCATTGTAGGTTATATAATATTATAATTTCACTTACTTAGCCAACATCTCATCATGCGTCTTCTCGAGCAATGCCAGCAGTTGCGTTGGAGCATCTTCTCTTTTAAGGGTGATTTTCTCTCCATTGAGACGTCTTACCGCAACCAGCTCGCCCTTTGCCATGTCTTTGGGTCCAAGTTCTACGCGGATTGGTACTCCCTGTGTAAAAATACATATGTTTAAAGAACAAAAATTGCTTTTTATGCATTATTAATAGAGATGTCCCGACTATGACTTTTGCCAACTAGACGACTAGTCTGACACACATATTATATGAAAACAATCTGACACATATATTATGTGAAAAAAAACTTAAGCTCCCTGTGGTTAAACTTTCACCCGGGCGTGTAGTTATCCCGGTAGTCCCCATCAGCCCCGATACCAGCAAGAGTCAGCTCGCCTAATACACGCTTACACTTGTCCAGTAAGCTCTGCTGCATCCACTTCGCTACTACAATATCTATATACTCATCTAGATAAAACAAAACCAACCTTAGCTTCCTATCGATAGTTAAACTTACGACCGGGCGTGTAGTTATCCCAGTAATCCCGCTCCTTCCCAATACCAGCAAGAGTCAGCTCGTCCATCATTCGCCTACACCTAAACTCATCCAGCAAGCTCTACTTATCCACTCCGCTACTTAAATAAAAAAAAACCCAACCTTAAGCTCCCAATGGTTAAACTTCCATCCGGGCGAGTAGTTATCCCGATAATCCCCCTCAGCCCGGATACCAGCAGCGACCAGCTCGTCCACAACACGCCTGCACTCGTCCATCAAGGCACGCCGCTCCGCCGCACTGCTGGACGCCGTGATGCCGCACGGCACTACGATGGCTTGCACGTCGGCTATACGCGGCGGCAACACCAACCCGCGGTTGTCGCCGTGTACTAGCACCATTACGCCTGTTGGGATTTAATAAAAAATTTAAATTAAGGCAACGGTAGGCCAGTGGTAACGCGCTCGCTTGGGAAATCGAGTGAAGTGGGTTCCAATCCCGGATCGGGTCTCGCACCTATGATATTTTCATGTGCGAATCATTTCTAACATGATTACCACTTGCCTTACGGTGAAGGAAAAACATAATGAGGAAACCTAGCAAGTTTTCGAAAGACATGTGTAGTCCGCCAACCCGCAGCGTGGTGGACTATGGCCTGATCCCCCTAGTATTCCTTGATCGTTAGAAAGGGCTGAATATATACTATATACTACACATGTACGAGTACCTTAAATTAAACATTATTAATATTATAAAGAGGTAACATGTAAGTTTGTATGTATCTCTGAAAATACTGATCGGATTCTGAGAATTCCTTGATTAATAGGCTCAGTTAGCTATATTACCGCCCAGTGCTATAAGCTATTTTTATTGAGATAAAAATTGTTTTACTGTCAAAAAAGCAACAAAAAGTATGATAAAATGACCCCTAGGGCGCATCCGACCGAAGCGAAATAAGTCGGCCAATTATAAAACAACCTAGCTTTGTTTAGTATTATTATGTCTAATAAATAATTGCACAATATTTGATATTTTGGCATATAAATGCGGTGAAGGTAGTATGAGGAAATTTGGATAAATAGAATGCATTTTAATTTGTTTTTAAAATGTAATAAATAAATAATAATTAAATTTACGCTTTATATGAATTGAATATTTATTTTACTTTGACATAATATTATTGACAAATTGTACATGCTATAGAAATTATGATAATAAAACGTTGATTTAATTTCGTATCAGTGTATCATAATATATATGAGGTAGAGTAGACAGTAATATTTAGGTCTTTCACTCAATTCATAAATATGTAAGTAAATATGCCAAATATATATTTCACCTACCTATCGTTCTAGTAGTAAGACCCCAAGAGTTCTGGAAGACGTACTTCTTCTCCTGCGTGTCGGGATCATCGTACACTATCTCGAACATCTTCGAAAAGTTCTGCCCGAGGTGATGACTTGTCGCGCCCTAAACATATAAACAAAGCATCATAAAATAAAATACAATATAAAAAAAAACAATTGTTACAAAAATAAGTCTATGGATTCCAATTTTGCTCCCCTAAAAGCTTTATTCGGAATATTATGAATATAATAACAAAAAATTAGGATCATAAAATATCATCGTACTTAACAAATTATAACTAAATTTTGGGTCATGATAACTTATTTATTACTCATGTCAACATTTAAGATACATTTTACTACAGGAAAAACTTTCAATCCTACAGGAAAACACAATATCTGGTTCTATCGAGTCGTCCTTAGAAATATATTGTACCTACTAGAAAATTCTAGATCTTAAAAAGGTCTACAGAAAAGTCTGCAATAGCATATATCTATCTCCTAAGGTATACTCGAAATTACTATTTTTATTTATTTATTTGAAACATACCTAGAAACCTGAGTGAAGCAAGGCCAGTATATATAGTAGCCAGTAAGTCGCTAGTATTCAAATCCATACTAATATTATAAATGCAAAAGTAACTGTCTGTCTGTCACCTTTTCACGCTCAAGCCGATTTAGATGAAATTTGGTAATTAAAAATGACCGTATGTAATGTCTATCCTTCGTACCTGTATCCCCCTGCCACTGGCGGGGATGTACGCCTCCACGGTGGTGGTGTAGTCGCCGCCCGCGAACTTCTCTTTTTCCGTCTTGCGCCCTTTAATCACCGGCACTGCCAGCATTTCTTCGTACACGCGCGCGTACAGATCTGTTTTATTTAAACTATTTATTATTATAATTTATATTTATTAATCATAAATCTCTTTTATGTCATCATATCATGTCAATTTTATTTTAGATTTTCTAATTATTTTTTCAATTTTAAAATGATTTGTGCTGTACTAAATATTATGTAAATGAAAAAAGAACCTAATAAGAATAAAATCAATAAAGAAATAATATTTACTTTTAAGGTAATTAAAAAAAAGCGTATTTCGTTTTTTTTTTATTATATAATTATTATAATTTTTTTTAATGATCAAATTATCAAAATGTATTAATACGAAGTATATTCATTTGTATTAAATTTTTAAAAAATTATAGACATATATATCAAAAGCAAGTTATTCTTAAGTAACCGTAACTTACAAAACTATTCATATATGTAATTGATATTTCCACATTTTTTGAAAGTGACATTTAAAATGGCCTGTTTCATATTCTGTCTCACACCTGATTTAATAAGTTACAAAAAAAAACTAAAAGTAGTTAAACCCACTTTACCATTTCTTGTTAACTAATACACTATTAGATCGTTAAAATAAAAAACGTTTTGGAATTATCCACTTGATACTATTTACTGACTGTACACTTTTAAAATAATAATGAATAACACCTGTCGAGTAAAATGCTGAATTGTAATATGTTACGGTTGCACCGTACGTGAACTGCCATTGAACAAAATATTTAGTTACCCAGTATCTGAAGCACTTCTTCTGCAGCCTCCTCTTGCGTGCGGAAGGCGGTGTGTCCCTCCTGCCACAGGAACTCGCGAGTGCGAAGGAAAGGTTGAGGCTGCTTGAACTCCCATCTCTAAAGCATTTAAAAGAAAAAAATATTAAAAAAAGGCAGTCATGAGGTCTGCCAACAAAAGTGAAAACTTAAAACTATAAACAAACAGTTGTTATTTTTGGATATTCAAATTAATTTGATCTTAAATTAAAACTGTTTACATTTATCTGGTTTTGACATCTATCGGCACTCTTGAGTGTTAGCGTTACCACGTGACGTGACCATGTCGATGACGACTTACATGAATTTACTCCCCATTAACGCCTATAAAAGTTTTCACTTCAAAAAAACACAAGTATCTTTAGTAACTTAAATAAATTATATTATAATATATTGCAGAACCATTTTAACTGAATGGGGTTTGGTATTGCATTCTTGACACGAATATAGTCGACTACTTTCATGGTAAAAGTTTAAGAAAATCAATACATATATAATGTTACTCTTATTTATTCGTTGCACGCTCGCTATAGAAACTAAGCTTAGAAGCTCAAAGCTCGGATTTCGTAATGCTAACGTTTTTATGTATGACTTATATTTTGAACATGACGTCATTTGTCAAGTCGATAAAAGAAAAAATCGTGAGGAAACCCGCATGCCTTTGAAAATCTAACAAGTTTCTCAAAGACGTGTTCAGCTCACCAACTGACTTACAATTGGTATTTTGCAACAAAAACTTCCAGTACTAAGGTATAATATATACTGAGTCATTACAATAAGTCATTGTTATTAAAATAAATGAATTATTGGAACGAAGTAAAAGTGTTATATTTCAACCGTCACGACACTTTTCATTATTTATCAATAGCATGTGACGTCATCATAAGTAACGTAAAAAATCGCCAACATGTTACCACAACATTGTTCCACTGGTTGAGTTTGTACGGCAGGTCGCGGTGGCTCTGTATCCAGCGCGCGTACGCGGGGTACATGACGGTCTCGGAGGTGGGGCGCACGGCGATGTGCTCGGCCAGCTCGGAGGTGCCCGAGTGCGTCACCCACGCGACCTCCGGCGCGAAGTCCGCTATGTGAGCCTTCTCGCGTTCTAACGCCGCCTGTAAGTCCAAATCATACATATTATAAGACTAATACTTTCTTAGATTTACGCGAATATTTGACATCTAGACAGGTAAATAAAATTGAAGTGTCCGTTCGTAATATATTTATAAGAAAACATAATTTTTAATTTTTTTGTCTGTCTGTCTATTCCGGCTAATCTCCGAAACGACTGGGCCGATTTTGACGGGACTTTCACTGGCAGGTAGTTGATTTTATAAGGAGTTAGGCTACTTTTAATTCAGTAAAAGTATTAGGGTTCCACTCAAAAAAATTAAAATGGACCTAGGGACGAACCCGAGCGAAGCGAGGGTGAGTCGTTAGTTTTAAGTAAAACTATCTTTCAGATTTTTTTATGCAAATTTATTTTTAATTTTGGTTTCCGACGTTTCGAATGCCTTACAGCAATATTAATCACAAGAGACTAATGTTTCACACGTCTCAAAGCTCACTATATACTCGCTACACACAGAATAAGTGAACGGAATTAAATGAAGTTTAATACACACAGACTATAACCTGGAATAAAACATAAGCTCGTTCGAAATAAATGTTACACGATTATCATTATTACGATTAATTGAATATGAATAATATTTTAATTTTATCGATAAAAAAGTAAATTATAATATTAACTTAAAACTACTATTTCTATCAAAACAATAGTATATAATAGACATTTCCTTTCTCTTTTACCGACACTATTCTCATCAAAAGCGAATAATGTATTAACAACTAACTCATATGTTACAGTTCAAAGTTAAGCTATACAGCATACTAAAGAAATAAACACATGCTCAAAAATTATTGGCTTTCTTCCAGAACTAACTTGAATAATATAAAATGAAAATAAATGTTACCTTCGACACAAATATGGGGAAGTAACCATCTCTGACTCCCAATTTCCTGAATTCAGCGGTCAGGAAGTTCCTGATGAGGTCCCAGATGCTGTACGACCACGGCCGCAGGATGTAGCAGCCCGATATGTCGTAGTAGTCGATCATCTCCGCTTTACCACAAAAATATTTAGTTAAATAAGTTATATATGTACTATGTTATATAAATTTAAATGTGTAGCGTTTTTAAAGTCAAATATAGTATCTGTGATTTCAAAAGGTTTTTAAGTTTTTCAATTAAAACTATGTTGTCGGATTTTTTCGCGGATTTATTTTGAATTTTGATTCCCGACGTTTTAAATGCTTTATAGGAATTATGGTCACGGAAGAGACCTAAGGTTTTAGACGTCTCAAAGATAGTATGTAGTTGTTGCAGACAGCACCTACCCACAAAACTTATACTTCAAATTTAGCTATAATACGAGAACTATAAAAGGCTACAAGACATTTTTAACTTTTTGGGTTCTTCTTTGAAACATATCTAATCATTATAATTGGTTTCATAATTTACCTAAACTAAGGATCTCTTTAAAAGCAATTTACGTATTTCTAAAATCAACATGGATAGATAATAACACAAATATGAGAAGAAAAAATAACTATTTTACAAAACCAATGAATATTGGGATAGCTAAAGATATGTATTATTTAAACGAACGTATTTATTTATCGCTACACTATATTTGTATTATTATATATAACAAAAAAACATGTATGTGTACTTATATACGCATGTAAGAAGTTATACTTCTTTGGTGTAACAGAACAAAAATAGCTAAAGATTTCCTCCCGTATGTCACAACTCTCTGTTTGTAAAAGGAATGATAAATTAATAAAATAAGGCATATTAGGCATATTACAATCATATATTTATATAGTATCATGGCAACAAACAGTTATCAGATAACTTTATCGTGTCGCTTTTTGGCTGTCGGTGTGCGCGCGCATCGTAAAAATTTTACTCTCATATTTTTTTCCAAACGTCCCAAAATAAGTATAACTTCAAAAAATAAAAAATACTATTATTATATCTCACATTTAGTGATGACTTGTGAATACCACTCTGGCAAGTCAGTCTCTTTACACGCCTCGAGTCCCAATCGCGTTACTTTCTTCACCCCCGAGGAGGACTCCTCCTTGGCTGGCTTTGGTGACTGAAACAATAATGAATTATATTATTATTTATAATTGAAATGAATGAATTTAAACTCATATTAAATAGCTTTCACAAAATAGTATTATTTATTTATAATATGTATGTTTTTAAGTTATATATGTGTAGTGTATCAACTGTCTGGTATCCATAACACAAGCCTCGTAGCTTACCGTGGAACTAGATGGTGCTATGTGTTTATGTCCCAACATATTTATTATTATTATTATTAGTAGTCAGACCTTATCAGTATAGAAAAATATTGTTTATAAATGAGAGCCTTAAGTTCAATATAGTGTTAGCATTAACTTTTCCAAACGTAAAACATACGCAAGTTAATAAAGAAAAAAAAATAAGCCAAAATTGAGCTATCTCTCTCTCAAGAGGAATAGAACTAATGATTAAAGATACATCTATAATTTATCTTATACTATAAAGAAAGAAAACAATATATACGGCAAAATCGAGAATATTAGCATAAACGCAAATCAAACTACTTTTCTTAACCTTCCCATATATAATGGTAGACTCCGTATCTCCTATATAATTCTTTAGTATAAGTATAGTTGTTTTCTTTATAAGTATATTACCTGTTCTTTCGGTTTGTTAGGTTTGCTCTCTTTTTTGGTTTCCTTAGGTTTCTCCTTTTTCTCCTTAGGCTTGCTCTCCCGTGGTTGCGACGGCGCTACATACGCAGTCCCCGTCTCTGCTTGATATTTAGCCTTTAATTCTAGAAGTTTCTTTACTTCTGCATCCACTGTAGCCTATAAAAATATATTTATATATAAGTAATAAATTTTTCCATATGTTGCCTTATATTTTTAGACTTTAAAAGTAACCAAATAGGTTATAGAGATAAATAAGAAGATCTAAAATATATGTATGTGTACATTTTGTCTATAATGCTCTTATATAGAACTTAAAATAATTTCTATATTTTAAGAACCATTAATACATTATTTATTTGTTTTGCTGCTCATAAGAAATAGTATTTATGCAAATAGCTATAGCCATAAAACATATATAAGACAAATCAAAATAAAATAATTACCTTGTCTGCCTTCTTAGCTTTTAGGTCCCTCACGAGCTCGCCCTGCTTGGCCACTTGGGCCGCTATCGCATCCCCAGCTCCACTCATTGCGGGAGTTATCTAATATATAATATATTTTACATATTTTTAACTATGACAATTAATTTTATTTTAAACTTCTTTTTAGTTTTTCCTAAGAATATCAAAAAATATTATGGTTTTATACCAAGTATTTAATTTTTACTTATTGTATTGAATTTTTACATACCTATAACAAAATTCTGAGCCGAATCTGTACATCAAGTATTTTTTGAAAAATCTTATTGAAATAGTCATTATTATCGATACAGAGGCCGAATCTATAGTTTTTTGATTTTTTTATCTGTCTGTCTGTCTGTGACTGCATAAAGAGAAAACTACTGGATAGATTTTGATGAAATTTGGTATGATGATAGCTGGTCAACATATAGGATACTTTTTACTGCGGGAAAATGTCTCATCTCTGAGAAATTTATACTAAACGTTAAAACGTAACTAGAGACGAACCCGAGCGGAGCGGAAGTGAATCGCTAATGAAAAAATAAAGATACATTTTTTACATTATTTAAAGCATGCTTTTTAAAAAAAAATGTTTTATAAAGTATACTGTGTCGAATGAACAGACACAAAACATCTCCTATAATTCTATTTTCCTTTTATCATCACAGCATCCGAATAATACAGTATAGGACAAAAACAATTTTGTGAGGATTTCTAGTTAAACTTTTTTTTTAAATAATTAATTTAATATAATATCTATAATTAGAGTAAAGTACTAAATACCTGCTCAGTTATTACCGGAGCGTGGACGGGAGCAACTGTTTTTGGAGTCCAATCGCTTCCTACAATAGATTTGTACTGCGCTTTTAGGTTCAACAAGTTTTTCACCTAAAACAAAACAATACCTTATTAGATTCACGCGAATACTTAACGTTTTAAATGAAACTATGTTTTCGGTTTTTTTCGCGGATTTTTTCATTTATATTGATTTTTAATTCCCGACTTCCCTACCGAGAGCCTCGTCCGACCATGATTACTGTAAAGCATACGAAACGTCGGCAATGAAAAATCAAAATAATTGTGCTAAAAAGTCCAATAGTTTTATTTAAAACAAAATAATAAAAAATAATGTTTAAATATGCATGAAATATTTCATTATATCATATATGAAAAATGTCAAAACTCAAATTGTAAATCAAATTATAATTACGATTTTATATTCCAATATTTTTTTCTCAGTGCAACACATTACATCAGGTAATATCATGATTATAGCGAAATATAATATATACATATATTATGTAAATATATGTATATAACATGTAACAATTTTTACAATATAACACAACTACTAGATAAACAAAATAGGCACGAATTACAAAAAAAAACTGACCTCAACATCAATTACTCCTTTTTCAGCTTTAGCGGCTTTAATCTGCCTCACTTTATCTCCTTGTGCTGCGATTTGATTCAGCAGTTCCGCTATCTTTGAGTCGTCGCTCGTCGCCGCTGGTTGGGCATTCGGTTGCCAATCCTTCGATGATAAATATATTTGAAATATTATAAAAACTAGTAATAAAATGTAATCATAATTCTTATTGTGGTCTCTTATTATCAATATTGAGACAAATATTTTCAAATATATACTACTACTAGTATCGCCCGCGGCTCCGCCCACGTTCAGATGACCAAAAAACAAATTCTTAGGTTTTACATACTAGTATACTCTTACATTGCAGTTTTTGTATTTTTTCTCAGAAATCAGATATTTTGCCCGCGGTAAAATGTATCCTATATGTTGACCCGGATAACCAGCTATCACCATACCAAATTTCATTGAAATCCCTCCAGTGGTTTTTGTGATGTGGTAACAGATAGACAGACAAAAATTCTAAAAACTATAGATTCGGCCTCTGTATCGATAATAATTTCAATTTCAATAAGATTTTCTAAAAAATATTTATTGTACAGATTCGGCTTAGTTACAATTTTATTATATGTATAGATAATCCCATTAATTTTATTATAATATTATAAATGCGAAAGTTTGAATGTTTGTTACTCAATCACGCCAGAACGGCTGAAGAGCTCTGAATAAAATTTGACACAAAAATAGGTAGAAATCTGGAATAGCACATAGTCTACTTTTTATCCCGGAAAAATGTACGGCTGTGGGAAAGATAAGGGTTCTACTGTTATAATAAACCTTCACATTTGTATTATCACATTAAAACAAATAATTTTATTAGCTCACAGAAATTAACGCTTCAAACGATCTTACTTCTATAAAATTTTAAAGAAGCAAACAAAAAGATATTTATTTAAATAAATTATTTTATATATTTTTTTTAATTACTTACGTGTAACAAAACACAAGAAAAATAACGTCACTTATTGTCATACACTTTAAAATAGGACTTGTACTACTTATTTTATGACACTAATAAGACACTTGGTGAAATAATCGATTATAATATTTACTCAGCTGATATAGATAAAACAATTTATCACATTTTATTGCCAGCTTACATATTATAGTAATCGATTTTATATAATTAATCTAAGTAATCCGAATATATGTAATACATATTCAACTACGAATTCTTTGTCAGAGTAATATATAATACTAGCGACTCACCTTCATTTCGCTCGGGTTCGCCTCCAGAAAAACAAAAACAAATCTATCCCACGGGAACCGTACATTTTCCGGGATAAAAAGTAAGCTATGTGTGTATTGTGCAGTATTCCTGACTATAAGTTGTCTCTGTGCCAAATTTCATCCAGATCCGTTTAGCCGTTCTGGCGTGAAAGACTAACAAACATCCATACATTTATACTTACAAAATCTCACATTTATAATATTAGTATAGATTTAAAAAATTATTCAACTTCTTACGCGTATAAGAAAAACAATATGAATAATGCGTATATTACTCAAAATTATTGTTCACATGATTTTAAAATAGATTATTGTGTTTAACAGGTACAATGTTTTTTCTTTTTTATTATCGCAACAACAAATTGACACCAATTGCAAAAAACAACATTACAACCCAGTACATTAAATTTAAATATACATATTTAAAAATATATATTTATACTATCTCAACAATCAACATTATTCTGCAGGTGACATGTTTTGTGTAACTTAACCGATATATTATAAAAAAACTCACTTTTCCAGTTACAATCTTATACTTGGCTTTTAAATTCAGTAGGACCTTGACAGCTTCGTCTATCTTAGATTTCTCTGCTTTGGCAGCTTTGAGAGATCTGACCAAGTCACCTTGTTTCGTGATCTCCTCATTGAACGACGAATTACCAGTTTGTGGGGCCTTGGGAGCTGGTGACGCTTCAGGCTTCCATTCCTAGAAAACCATCCATATTAGTATAAATATTTTTTTACTATATACTTTTGTTCTTTTATTCATCAAATATGAGAAATATGTCTCGAGAGTACAGAATGATCTGTAAATAAGACATAGTGTCTTAAAGAGATAAAGCTCTTATAATATGAATTGCTAGAAAATTCGAATTAAGGTACAGAAACTAATTTTTACTAAAAATGAAAGCACAGCTATTATTTAGCTTTGGTTTTACATTTGTTTAAAAGTAATTTTATTAGCTTTTATTTCAAAATAAGTAAGACTTGAAAATTGCGTAAAATCTACGAATGTGACTTCAAAATTTTACAAATCGGCGTTAAAATGTGCGCAATAAAAATGTTCATAAAAATTACCGTTCCAGTTACAATTTTATATTTGCGCTTCAATTCTAATAACGTTTTGACTGCTTCATCAATCTTGGCTTTGTCGGCTTTACTGGCTTTGAGAGAGCGGACCAAATCCCCTTGATTAGTGATGGCTTGGTCTAACAAAAGATTACCGGAAGTAGCAGAAGATGGCGCTGCACTTGGTTTCCAATCCTGAAATTAATTAGTAAACAAAATTCGTCATTTAGGGACCATTAGGGGGCATTTATAATATTTCTTAAAAAGATTAAACTAAACAGATTTATAATATTCAGTAATATTGTTAAATATAATAAGTACTTTTATAAAACTTTAAATTAAACCGAAGATGTGAAAAATCAATTAATAAAATTAAAATCTAAAAAAATATATTTGGATTTGTTGTAAAATACTAACTTGACCAGTGACAATCTTATATGTGGACTTCAATTCTAATAATAACTTAACGGCTTCGTCAATCTTGGCCTTCTCAGCCTTGGACGTCTTAAGAGCCCGAACTATTTCACCTTGTTTTGCAATATCATCATCTAGCTGGGAGTGACCATATGCTAGCTTCGCTTTTATAGTTGGTACTACACCAGGTTTCCACTCCTGAATAAAAAAAACTAACATTTAGTAAATTTTCTATAAGATGATTTTAATATCTTAAAATAAAAATATACATACAGCAAGATAAATACTAATACTTATTGCTTGTAACTGAGATTTGATTTCAATTTTTTGTGTTTATGTTTCACTTATCTTCGTTGATTGAAAATAGATATTTGATTTAATGAATAATCAGCCTTATTAAGGGCGTGCCCAAATTTCAAGAAAAATCACCCGCTAAAGTTGGAATGATTACTTCTTAACTTTTATATTTAAAGCAGTGCTAACTGCTAGCCCAGTGGTAATGCGTTCGCTTAGGAAACTGGGTGAAGCGAGTTCAAATCCCGGGTCTCGCACCTCTACAGATATTTTCATGTGTAAATAATTTCCAACATAATTTCTAGTTTTCAAAAGACATCCAAAGCCTAGCACTTGCTTAGCATAGAAGACTATGGCCTGAACACCTTCATAATGAAGGGAGGCCCGTGCCCAGCAGGGGGACGTTAAAAAAAGGGCTGAATACACACATACAATTCCTAAATATTTAATGTTCGTTTGACTTTATAAAAAAGGAAAAATATAATAAAAAAGGAAAAAAATATATTAACCTGTCCCGTCACCGCCTTATATTCGCCCTTAAGATTCAATAAGACTTTGACTGCGTCGTCAATCACGACGTTCTCAGCTTTAGAAGCTTTAAGCGAGCGAACTAGTTCACCCTGTTTGGCGATTTCATCAATCAATCTAGCAGAGTCTTTGGTTGTCGGTCCGGCCGGTGGAGGTGCCACCGCTTTAACTTGCGTTGTTTGAACTGCAGACTTTGGCTGAAAAAATTTAATCGTAATTAATATAAAATTATTATTCAATTTAATTTTCTTGTTAATGGCTTCAAAGCGCGCCAATAACACATTTATTTAAAACAAGTAACTTAAGCATTTTATTTAAATTAATTTTTAAATTAAAATACACAGTACACATACAATTAGGTACTACTTTGGCCAAATTTAGACGTGTTTAAATCAAGGCCATAATTAATCATAAAAAATTTTGTTATAGCAATGTACCTACTTAGGTATTTTATGGAAACCCGTAGGTAAATTTCCTACACAATTTCTTATTAGCGATGTGATAACTATTTTTTAGAATTGTTAATGCATTTGTTAACTTTTTTGTATTAATTATCAAAAACAGCTATCCGAAAGGATGTCTAAAACGTATGTGTTTAAATTTTAAATGTCTAGGTCAACGTAACATTTGTTAACGTTGTAAAAGTAACGTTGATTAATGATTTAATATACATTATACATATTAAAAACATATAAGTAGTACTTATTTAACCATAATCTATACATATAATAAAATTCTAACTAAGCCGAATCTGTACATTAAAAATATTTTTTGGAAAATCTTATTGCAGTAGACATTATCGATACAGAGGTCGAATCTATAGTTTTTAGAATTTTAGTCTGTCTGTCTGTTACCGCATCACGGAAAAACCACTGAAGGGATTTTGATGAAATTTGGTATGAAGGTAGCTGGTTATCCGGGTCAACATATAGGATACTTTTTACAGCGGGAAAATATCTCATTTCTGAGAAAAAATACAATAATTGCAATATATGTAAAACTTAATTACGTATACTATATACGTATACTAATATGTAAAACTTAAGAAATTGGTTTTTGGTCATCTGAACGCGGACGGAGCCGCGGGCAATGCTAGTATGTACTGAAGTGTTTTAAACATAGTTTAAATAAAGTTTTTATAAAAATATTTCGTACTACTAAAACTTATTGTAAAAAGAAATGCATAAACACATACAAATAAAAAATATTATTCGCAATACATACTTAATAAGAGGTTAAGCTGTAATAAAATTAACAAAACACTCCACACACGTGTTAACCAAAACAATTTTGAATCGACTGATTTTGTGAGGTGGCGTGATCCGCTACGTGGTCGACAACGCGAGCGTTTGAATGAGAAATACTTTCACTTTTTGCCATAACAAAATATAAAATTGCTAGAAGATTTTTTTTTGTTTTTTTTTATATATTTAGAGGTTATGGAGATGTTATTTCCATGATTTTGCGTCGACAACGCGTTTTCGATAAGATAAAAAATACGCATGATACGCACAAATGATAGACTAATAATAATATATTTATTTTTATACTAATATTCATTATATAAAAATAGGATTTCATTTATTATTGTAAATTAATTATTTGATTCTTAAGTTGTCGTTCTGATATAAAATACTTATTTGAGTATTCTGAACGCTGAAGTTGTTATCTTGAGTGGATAAAGGGCGGCAACGTTGTGTTTTATTTTATGATATTGTTGCCTATCGATAGCATATCGATAATTAATCTATAGTGACCGATAGTTAGAAAATAGGTAGTTCTATCGATATTATCGATACAATCGATAGTATTGATACTATCGATAGATGGAAATGTGAAAATACTATTGACAGACCACAATACTATCGATACTAGGGTCTATCTGATATGATTATGATACTATCGATATCGATAGTATTGGTGCTCACAAATCAAAAACTATTGATAGTATAGATACTATCGATACTAAGTTTCGAAATAAAATAATATCGATGGTATCGATGCTATCGAAACTAAAGATAGTTTGAGCTATCGATAGTAGCTCATTTTTCGATAGTATTGTACACAGTTCGCAGGTGGCACAAATCGAAGTTTTATACTGACTTTCGTCTAATTATATTGATTTTAAAACTTAACTAATAGTATCGAAAAATTAACAACTATCGATGTTCCAAAACTCAATAGTATCGATTCTATTGATAGTATTGTTTTAAAGAAGTTTGATAGTGTCGATTCTATCAATACCATTGATAATTTATAATTCATTAGCAGCAATACTATCGATAGTATCGATATCATTGCCCTCCGTTAATAGTATTGTCGCATTTCGAGCTCTCGATATTATCGATAACATTGATATTATGGATATACCTATCGATGGTAGGGCTATTTTAGATGAAAACTATCGATACTTCGGCAACGCTACTTTATGACTTTGCAATATGTCATTCTTGTTGTTTTTCTTAAGACTCTTAAGAAACAGAAAGAAAGTTAAGAGGCCTATCACAAAATGTACTATTCAAGTTTTTGGTTTTTTTTAAGAGAAACAAAATTGTACTTCAGGCCAAAAACTCCGAGCGAAGCTCGATAGCCCAGGTACTAAAATTAATGTTGTAAGGATATAATTATTTACTTACAGCTAATTCTGAACTTTTTTCATAGTTTTCAAGATTTTTAAAAAGGATTTCTTTTTGTGGAAATCCAATACATATTTTTAAATTCCGAGGCCGGTATAAACTCAACCACTATAGACGAGATATTATTACCTATATATTTTTCATTTCGTTTGCTTAATATACTGTATAGTATTTCAATCCATGAGCTTGAAAAACTGCCGTCGCGCATTTCAATTAACTTGCTTCTGAATTTTGTCTTTATTTAAATTAATAATGAAAATTTGCGAAAAGAGAGGCCGCTATGAACTATATTAATAACTATTCTCCATCATACAATAAGTCAAAATTGTCGAAGAGTTTCAGTTTCTCTGAATAAGAACGCCATAGATGGGCATTAAATTGAAAAATCACGGTCATAATTTAATAGACCTCTTAATGTCGTTTGATGCGTAAATCTGAGTCTGACTCTGTATAAAATATTAAAAACTGTGTGTTGTTACGCCGAATTTTACTTGACCTACCTGACCTACTTCTGAAATTGTCGCGTAATACAAATATGCTCACTTTCAGCAGTAACAAAATATAATGCATTAGAAGATTTGATGTTCTTAAAAAGATTAGGATTCCTTATTGCTGTATTAACAATTATTATAAGTAGGTAATAGATATCTAATTTGATTACAAGGTTAAATTGAATACAAATTCAAAATTCTATACCTTCTCAGTATCATTGATGTTTTAGAAATCACTATACAAGTATACATACAATCTAATTACAAACACTGTAAAAACTTCTCAAATGTACAGAAAAAATATCTCATTCCTAAAAAGAACTGCCGATAGAGCGGTTCAATAGTTCCTTTTTTTAGTCGCCTGGAGTTTTTTTATAGGTTTTACTATCTTGACATAAATCATATATAGAGTACCGTACCTTAAAACTTTTGATACTTTAACTAAGTTTTAATTCAAAAAATAAATGTAACTTTTACAGTGGAAAATTCGATTTTAAACCGACTTCAAAAAGGAGGAGGTTCTCAATTCGACTGTATTTTTTTTTTTATGTTTGTTACCTCAGAACTTCGTCATTTATTAACCGATTTGGACAATTTTTGTTTTGTTTGAAAGGGTATACTTCCAGATTGGTCCCATTTAAATTTCAAAAAAAAATACCACCCCTAAGGGTGGAAAAATAGCTAATAATGAATTTAACCTACTTCTAATTGTCATATTGACTTGAAACTTTGCAAGTGTTTCTATTTCCGTTGATAGTACAGTGGTTCGGTATTGTTGACCTGATTTGATGGTAAGGCCAGAAGGTGGATAGGTGGAACTCTTCAACGGCTAATAGTAGATACTTTGAGTTTGGGCTTATTTTGTTTGATTCGACAAGCCTAACACTTTAGAATTCGTACTTTGCTACTACTGTCTACACTAAAAAGGGAAAAATAAAAACTTTTTAACAAAAAAATAAAAACCGACTTCAAACAAAAGCACTAAAAAGTTAAAAATAACTGATTGGTAGTTTTCATTTACTATACATACCTAATCAAATATTTTCGAAGTCGGTGTGCTTTGCTTTGTATGGGCTGGCACCGATTTCGAAAATATTTGATTAGGTATATATTTAATAGGTAGGTAATTACTTAGCCAAAGCACACCGACTTCGAAAATATTTGATTAGGTATGTATAGTAAATGAAAACTACCAATCAGTTAATTTTAACTTTTTAGTGCTTTTGTTTGAAGTCGGTTTTTATTTTTTTGTTAAAAAGTTTTTATGTTATACTTAATCTACTCTGGCCACATACAAATACTCACATAGAAGTAGGTATAATGTTCATTAAAATAATAATTTGTGAATGTATTGATATCTTCTCTAACATTATAAAATATGAGAAAAGGTCACGCGCCCGAAGAAACGAATGGCGGGTCGCGAGTTTCGACTTTCGATTAATATTTGTACCTACCTATAAGGCACACTGATCTGTACTTCATACTTGTGTTATAAAAAGTAAACTTTATAAGTTTTTATGTAAATGATAATCTCTGAAAGTTGTGATTCTCATTTTTTCACTAACAAGGAAGTTACATTACCGCCGAGTGCTATAAGCTATTTTTTATACAATAAAAAGTGGTCATCGAGTTGCTTAATCGATGTGCACTGCCTAATTCCTACTTCATTTTGTTGTACATCTACGCCTTTAAAGTACTAATCGCAAGTCTATTATAATACTAGCGACTCACCCTGCTTCGCTCGGGTTCGTCCCTAGGTACGTTTTAATCGTTAGTATGAAATAGACTATAATATATTGATGTTCTCTCCTGACCGATTCCGGCCACGGCGGCGAATCTCATTGAGACTAGCCAACTGCGCAGGAGATATTATAGTGCACAAGTGTACGCGCAGACACAAGTGCACTCTCTATTTCTGTCACTCTCATACTCTGGTGGGACGACCACTCGACACGACCAGTGAGAGTTAAGGCGCAGGACCGACGGCTTTTCGTGCTCTCCGAGTCACGGGGGTGAAACACCGCCAACTTCCCAACTCCGGGTATACAGAAATACTCAATAACTAAACTTGGTCCGACCCGAGACTCGAACCCAGGATCTCCAGGTGTGCAGCCGTACATGCTAACCACTACACCACCGAGGCAGTTATATATTATAGTACGTACATATAAATAATAAATATACATAGATATGGTTCAGTTTCATAACTCTTACTTGAGAAATGAATGATTCCCCATACAACTTTCATCCCCCATTTCACCCCTTTATGATTTCCGGGATAGAAATCCTTATTCATTAGTCCTTTCCAGGATCTCAATCTATCTTCATAGCAAATTTCATCTAAATCGGTTCAGTAGTTCCAGAGATAACATCTTACAAACAAAGTCACAAACTAACAAACTTTACCTCTTTATAACATAATTAGTGCAGATAAAATGAAATACGTATTTAAAAGTCCTTCTACCTTAAAAATTATCTGCTAGGCACGGGCCTTCCTTCAATGCGAGGGGGATTAGGCCATAGTCCACCACGCTGGCTAAGTGCAGGTTGGCGGAATTCACATGACTTTCGAAAACTTGCTAGGTTCTCTCAGACATGCAGGTTTCCTCACGATGTTTTCCTTCACCGTAAGGTAAGTGGTAGTTATGTCAGAAATGATTCGCACATGATGAATATCAGAGGTGCGAGACCCGGGATTTGAATCCGCTTCACTCAGTTTCCCAGGCGAGCGCGTTACCACTGGGCTACCACTAATTTTTATAATATGCTTAATAATAATAAACGTCTAGAGTTCTAAGTAGGCAGTTTCAACTTTCAATGTTCACACTGAAAAGACCATGACGAAAACAATTTGCTTCATAAGTGTAACATTAAACCAATAGCTTTATACTTTGACATAAACAAATATAATATAACTACTTCTGAGTATCGAAATAAAAATATTTTTGTCGCAAAAGTTAGGAACTAATTATTATAAGGTAATTTTAGACTCAATTCCTAAACGATATCTCCCGGTCATTTTCTTTAATATTAATGTCAAAATGAATTTTGAATTATGAAAGATGTGTTGTACAGTTAAATAATTTCGTACCTAATAACGATGAAATCATTCAATATTAAAAAGAGAAATAAAACAAAAAGACAAAGTATGACATGAAAAACTACGTAAAAGATAAGTTTTATTTAAGTGTGTATAGAAAAGTGTAATAGAATACATAGAACGTAAAATATTGCGTGTTTGTGGGTAAATAAAAATTCGTGATTTAATTAAACCTTGCTTTGTTTCTTAAATTTTAGTTTACAGGGAATATCATTTACTTATATAAATATATATACTTAATCATGAAAAAGAAACACTGCAAATGTAAAAGAAAAGTTATTATAGTTAGTTGTAATGATACGAGAGAGAAGATACGTTTAACAAAAACTGTGAGGAAAAGTACTAAAAAGGTAACATTAGAAGTTAAGCATAACACTAAAATAACAATTGTAAAAGAAAATTCTGAAAAATACCCAATATTTAAGGCTCGATCAAATGAAAGGATAGTGCCTTGTTGTTTGAGGCCAGGTTGTAAAAGCGGGTTTGAATATAAGGAAGCAAGCAAACAACACAAGCAAAAACGAAGAAATCATGTTAGTATGAACACTGTGTACACTTAATGTAATCAAATGAGACATGTAATCAATTTTTTATGTAATCTTGTATATCTTTTAATATAAAATGCTATAACACTTTTAGACTCCTGAAGTATACAAAAAAGAAACACACAAAGTAAGTTACACAACAATATCATCAGGAAAAAAATATTTGAATAATGAATCCAATAGTAATTTACATTATGAAAATATTAGTTCAGATTCACTTAGCTCTTACTTTGACGAAGAACTTGAAACTCTGATAAAATCAACTAGGAAGGTACACATAATAATTTATTTTATTTATGCAAATATTTGACATTTTAAATGTAAAATATAATTGTATTTCAAACCGGAAAGGTATTAAAATATTTTACATATAAGTAAAATACTTTATATCATATCTAATATATTATATTATAGATAATCAATTTATTTTCAAAGTAACATATTGTGTTTCAAAATAAAACATTTTTTGTATATATGCTTTATAAGCATATAATTATTATTTGAAATTGTAATAAATAGGAGAAATATGTCCTTGTTTATTACTTTTCAATTTATAGAGAATGAGGGATTCGGATGAAGAGTGGAAATTGATGCCAAGGCACCAAAAACCCTATACTAGTACTCCACTGAGCAAAAGAAATAAAAAAATATCACAATCATTAGAAAATGTTAATTCACCTTTTAATTCACTTAATACTTTAGTTCTCGAAGCTGATGACAAAGAATGTATGTGGGGGCATGATATCAATTTTTCTCCAATAATGAGCCCAGAAAACTTACCAAAACAAGAGCCATATGAAGAAGAACTAAAGTTGGATCCATTATTTTTAAGCCAAGAACTTTATAATATAGATGAAATTAAAAAAGAATATTATGAAAAGAGTAACATAGACAAAGCTATAATAAAGTTGGAAAATAATGATAACAATATGGACCTACCTAAAGTTGATATCAGTAATTTTGCCATTAAGCAGGAATTTTATTGAGATCTTTGATGTCTATATGAATTCTAAATGGTTAGATATAAGTTATAAGCAAATACATATATTAGAACATATGTTTATGAGTAAATATATTGTCTATGTTATCTATATGTACTAATATTATAAAGAGGTAAAGTTTGTAAGTTTGTGAGTTTGTAGGAGGTAATCTCTGGATCTACTGAGCCGATTTAGATGGAATTTGGTAAGAAGATAGTTTAAGACCCTGGGAAGGACATAGGACTTTTTGTCCTGGAAATTATCCCTTAAGGGTTTGAAAATGGGGATGAAAATTTGTATGGAGAATCAACATAGGAATGAACATATTTCTGAAGTATTTTGTTTCTGTCGGCGACGGAAAACCTATCTTCGAGTAACGTGTGTATTAATATAGGGACAATGTCATTTTAGCGTATTATGAATATTGTTGTAAATATGAAATCTCATTCTTATTAGATTTATTATGTTAAATTAAGTTCTAATTAGTGTAATAAGGTTAGTTTAGAGTATTTTTTGCTTATTTGAATCATATAAGACTATTTAACATTAATTTGAAAGGAATAGGTACGTAAGTAAAATGTTAGCATATAATTACGTAACTTGAAAATGAGATTTTTTGTTTCTTGCAATAGCATAATAGTTTATGTTTTAAATAATAGATTTTATTATAAAACTTATAATAAAACAAGAATTAGGTCGATAGGACTATCCGTTCAAAAGTTATAAGGGAAAATGTATAGTAAAAATGTAGCAACCTAGAAATTTAGATATTTTTGTTTTAAGACTTTTTTAATTAATTATTATATATTGAATATTATGTTTTAATATTGTATAATAGTATGTAAGGCATGTAAATAAATAAATATGTGTAAGGTGTTTTACTGAAAACATAAAATAAAAGGACTCTCAAGGTTTCGGTTTAGGGAAATTTTATTCGAAAAATGAGCTCAAAGTACGCGGCTCTCTGTAAGGTATTAACGGGCCAAATAAAAGGCGAGCCATTTCTCGATTCGAGTCAGTCGCAAGACAGCCACCGAAGAGGCAACAACTAAAAGGAAAAGGAAGAACCGAAACCAAGAGAGAAAAAAGGAAAAATTGTGTTTTTATTTCATCGCCTCTAAGTATAGTCTCCTGTCAACGAAGAAACCCTAGTGGATCGGGACCCAAGCTACGCATTCAGGGGTGCGTGGTGGCGTACATTACCAGCGAACGGACATACTGCCGTGTACGCCAAGAACGTCTGGGAGATTGTCCCAGGTCGACCTCCGGGTACTAGACATACCCTGGTTCTGGTCGTCCGAAACAGTTGGTCCTTCGAGCCGGATCCCTGCTAGAAGAAGTTCAGAAGAAACAGAAGATTGCGTTCAAGATGCCGGTAACCAGGTCGCAGAAGGATGCCCCCTCACGTCCCGGGTCCCGTCCTTCAGATAGGGACGCGACAGATGGAACGTCGGGATCAGAAGGGGTCACGTCAGCGTCGGCGTCATCGGGAACTGCAACTACATCGAACACTTCTTCGGGTACCACGACCACGGAGGGCACCACAGTGACGGAGACTACGGTTACGACTGCAACTACGGCGGCGTCTATGGAAGGCAACAAAGAAGATGCTGCACAGAGGATGACCAGGAAGAGCCAAGAAGATGTACCTGGAAAGGATGTTCAAGGCTCCTCCAAGACCCTGAAACCGATGGGGGTCAGTCGTCGCGCCAGGTCCACGAAGACCACGAGTTTCTCGGCCAGAAGACGCGAGCTAGAAGCAAAGGAAGAGTTGGCACGCCTGGAGTTGAAGCAAGCACAGGCTGAAACTAAGCTAGCCCGTGTCAGATTGGAGATGGCACAGTGTGAAGAAGAGGACTCCGTGGATGAAGACCTGGAAGACAGAACAGCACAGGTGCAGAACTGGATCGAGACGTCTGTGCTGGAGGATGGCAACAAAGTTCAACCAGAGATGCGAGGTCCACACCCCTTGGAAGAGCCACAGAAGATGAAGCCTGAAGAGAACTCCTCAACGAGAGGAGCTACGATTGAAATTCAAGCACTGACGGCAGCATTGAAGGAAGCTCTTACCACGCGAGGACCAGCAGGACAGCCAACCTACATTCACGAGTTACCCTACTTCGACGGCAACAGCAGCGAGTGGATGGCCTTCAAGGTTGTCTATGAAGATACAGCACCGATGTTCAACAACGTCCAGAATATGGCTCGGCTAAGAAGAGCACTGAAGGGCAACGCAAGAGAAGCTATCAAGAGTCTGCTGTACTCCGAAGCCTCTCCGATGGAAGTGATTCAAGCCCTCAGAAGAAGATATGGAAGACCAGATGCACTGGTGCTGGCAGAGTTGGACAAGGTCAAAACGTTGCCGAAGATTTCTGAAAACCCAAGGGACATATGCCTCTTCGCGAGCCAGATCAGCAACAGCGTAGCGGCAATAAAAGGATTGAAGAAACCACAGTACCTGCATTCACCTGAGATGGTGAAACAAATTATTGAGAAGATGCCTACGATCCTCAAGTTCCGATGGTATGACTTCATTGAAACAACAGAAGGCGAGTTCTCCGACCTAACACTGGTGTCCAAGTTCCTGAACAGAGAAGCAGACAAGTGTGGAGCCTATGCATCAACAGAAGAGAAGAGCGGGTTCAGACGGACTCATCGACAAGCAACGCATTCAACTAAGGAAAAGGACTTCAAAGAAAAGGTTTCAAGATCAGAGAAGACTTGCCCCATGTGTGAGGGTGAACACTTCCTCGTCGGGTGTCAGAAGTTCCTGAAGGCGTCTGTGCAAGATCGATGGGCAATAGTGAAGAAAAGCCGCGTTTGCTTCAAGTGTTTACAAGGGACACATCGGAAGGAGAGCTGCAAGAAGCCGTCGTGCAAGGAATGCAAGAGGTGGCATCATCATCTGCTGCACGTCGAGACAGAGAAAAGTTCCTCGGAAGAACAGAAGAACAAACCACAAGAAGTGGCGAGCATCATGGCATCGGTGAATGCAGTCAACAACGCAAGGGCATACCTGAAGATAATTCCGATAGAAATCTTCGGGTCAAAAGGATCAAAGAAGATATTGGCCCTCATGGATGAAGGGTCAACAGTGTCGCTGCTAGACCAGAAGGTAGCAGAAGAAATCGGCGCTCAAGGAAGAAAGGAGGAACTGGTCATCGAGACTGTTGGAGGCAGGCTGATAAGGAAGGAAGACTCTCAGATGCTGGACCTTACGGTGAAGGGGATTCATCAGAAGACCAAGAAGACCTTGAGAAGAGTCCGGACCATCGACGAGTTGAAGCTTGCACCGCAGTTCCTAGAAAAGAAAAGGATAGAAGAGTGTCAACACTTGAAGAAGATTGCTGACTCTCTATATTATAAGGGGGAGTCACCACAGCTGCTCATCGGTCAAGACAACTGGGAGCTAATCGTGACTCAAGAAGTAAGAAGAGGGAAACCAGGACAACCAGTCGCTTCAAGAACAGGACTTGGATGGGTGCTCCACGGGTCAGACACTGGAGGCGCGAAAGTGGTGCACTTCTTAAACACGTGTCTACATGTCAGCACGCCAGAAGAAGAGATGCATCAAGCCATCAAGGATCACTTCGCAATCGAAGCACTTGGAGTACTACCAAGAAGACCCACTACGGATTCAGAAGGAAGAGCACTCACCATCCTAGAGAAGACCTGCAGAAGACTAGAAGATGGTCGATTTGAAGCTGGACTTCTATGGAAAAATGAAGATGAACAGATGCCTGAAAGCTACACGTCTGCCAAGAACCGATTGTTCAACATTGAAAAGAAGATAGACAAAGACCCTCAGCTGAAGGCAGAATACAATAAGCAGATCCAGCATCTAATCGACAGCAAGTATGCAGAAGAAGCACCTGGTGGACAAGAAGATTCAAAGAAGACATGGTACCTCCCTCATTTCTCCGTGGTACATCCATTGAAGAAGAAAATAAGGATCGTCTTCGACGCTGCAGCCAAGTCTAAAGGGAGAAGCCTCAACGACGCTTTACTACCGGGACCAGACCTACTGCAATCGCTCTTCGGGGTATTACTGAGGTTCCGGCAAGGCCCGTTTGCAGTGGCAGCCGACATAAAGGAAATGTTCCTGCAAGTTCGCATCCGGCCAGAAGATAGAAACAGCTTGAAGTTCCTGTGGCGAGGGGATCGTCGTGACGTAGCACCGAAGGAGTACAGAATGACATCAGTCATCTTCGGCGCGACATCATCTCCTAGCACAGCGATCTACGTGAAGAACCGGAACGCGGCGGACTACAAGAAGCAGTACCCAGAGGCAGCAAAGGCAATCGAGCTGAACCATTACATGGATGACTACCTGCACAGCTTCCATTCAGAAGAGGACTTCAAGAGAATTACAGCGCAGGTGGACTTCATTCACAAAAAGGCGGGCTTCGAACTCCGAGGATGGGCGTCAAACCACTCCGACCTGCTGCAAGACGTGAAGACTGAGTCAGTTGAGAAGACAGAGGTGGACCTTGGTGAGAAGGAAGAGAAGACACTGGGACTACGCTGGTTTACAGAAAGGGACTCCATAGGCTTTAGGGCGAACCTTCGGAACACGCCAGATGAAGTGGCACAAGGACTCAAGGTACCTACGAAGAGAGAAGTCACCAGCGCCGTGATGTCGACCTTCGATCCACTAGGGCTAGCATCACCAATTCTCATCCAAGGCAAAAGGCTGCTCCAGAACATATGGCGAAGTGGCGTCGGTTGGGATGAAGAGATAGAAGAAAAGGAGTACGAGTCATGGAAGACTTACCTGGAGAAGATGAAGCTGCTCCAAGACCTTCAGATCCCGAGATGTCTGGCACCACGTCGCACCGAGGGGGAGCTGCACACGTTCACGGATGCAAGCGAAATGGCGTATGCAGCTACGGTATATTGGAGAACTGAAAATCAAAATGGGACTTATGACGTCAGCTTAGTAGCAGCAAAAGTAAGAGTCGCTCCGTTGAAGCCGGTGTCAATCCCGAGACTCGAGCTGCAAG